TTTTTATTTCAATCTATTTATTTACAGTAATAAATTTTTTCATTTATGACAATTTTACAGTGTTGACTTAATTTACTATGTAAGTCCTACTCATACTCTGTCTCTCTTTCTAACTAAAACTAATAAACCAATGGCAACCTTTAATTTGATTTGTTAGCAATAATCTGCATTTAAGTAAATTTTGTGATGCAGATAAAAATCTATTTTAGTATTAAATATTATAATATTGCTCTGTCTGTGCAGTCATTGTTGTTGTTTTCCACGGTGGGTAGGAACTCTGAATGACAAGTGAAGGAATATAATTTTCTTTAAAATGTGATTTATAAATTATTTTCTTATATTCACAATGAAAAATTTAATCAGGTCTGTTTTTAGTTTATTTGGCATATTAGCAATCTATTATTTCAATTCTAGCACATTTAAATAGAATTATGAACCTGTTTCCTCAAATAAACACCAGTCATGTCCATTACATTTTCATTAGCATGGACTTTTAAAACAACACACCTGAAAGGTCATGACAGAAAGTAAATTTTAATCTTATTCAAATTCATCTTTTAAAGTTTTTAAAAGTAATAATTTTATGGACAAATTTTTTTTTTTTAATTTAAATAATACTCCTTGGCATTCCTACAAATTAATTTTATGTGTTTAGTTTTACATTAAAAAGCACATTTTATTCATTGAACTTAAAGGACAAAAAATTTATAAATACATATAATTTTATTGTAATATAAAAAGGCCTTTAGTGCAGTCTGAGTAAAACATATCTCATACATCTGCCTCTTAAATAGTTTTTAAAAATGGTGCTTCACAGCTGAAAACTCTAAATTACTGCTATGACACATTAAATTATTGAATGAAAGAAACTATTTGTGTTAAAAATGGATATGGTAATGTAAATGCTGGGATTATTTAAAGAATTAAAAAATAATGATCATGCATCGTAGACAAAAATATAAATTAGTTTCTAAAATATCTGATTGTTTAGATAATTTAATCACAAGCATACAACATAAATTGGGCATAAATCATATTTGAATATATTATCTTTAAAATTTGTTCAAATATTACCTTTTAATATAATTACAATAAAAATGAAACAATGAAGAAAACTAAATACTCAATGTTTTAAACAGAAAATTTGAAACTTTCATTGCAGTTTACATTTCACCCCCCAAAAAACTGTAATTTCAACAGTCAAGGTTGACCCAGCAAGCAAATTTATATTCCACTAAGATGATCCCATATTAAAGCTAAATCTCTCAAACAATCTATATTTATCAAATTCACCATATTTATATTTATTGATCATAATGAACTTCAGACATATTAAATATTGAAATGAAAATATTACATCTTCACACAGTAAAAAAGGTAAAATGTCAAATTCTGCAACAAAGTCAAGTGACAAGGATATTTGTTAGTTTTTTAATGCTTATTTCAAGACATTCTTCCTTTTATCGCCATTTATCTAGGACCGCTTAGATGCAATGCTTAAAAAGTGGCAAACCTACAAAGACCTTCTAGATAGCACACATTCTTATCTGTCAAATGATTTCCCACAATGGCTGTCTGCTGCAGAGACTAATGTCCCTGATACTCTTGACAACACTCAGAAGCAAAGGGAGGCTACTCAGGTAATCCATTATCAATGTAATTCATACAATAATAAAAACAAAACAGTTTTTCTATATGAAATGAGTCAGATTTTAATATGTTCAATTAGAAAATATTAATTATGTAGTCAATTAAATGTTTATCCTTGATTATTTATTATTTCAAATAAAATTATTGCAGTTTTTAACCTTTTTATAACAAAATGTTGGTACCGGTATTTACAGGGGGAAAATAGATAACATATTGTAATAACATAGATAATAGTATACTTAACTCTTAAATGAGTTGCCATCCAAGGTTAACGGGTCCCATCTACCCGGGGTGCTGGTGATGTTTTTGCTTGACTGGTCTCTGGCTGGAATTGAACTCCAGACCACCAACTTGAGATTTGTGCAGTTTAGACCACTCAGTTACCCAGCACCCCGGTTATCCCGAAAGGCGGATAACATTGGTACAATGAAACATTCCGACAACTCCTGCGACGTCACTGGTGCCAAGGTGTATCATCCCTTGATGTTCCCTTGGGTTATTCAGCGGCGTGGAGAGAGGCGATTTGCTGTAGGGAACCAACTTATAATCCTTGAAGAATAATCCCAGGCCTTGTGGATTTTGTCCTCCGAAGCCCACACCATCGTCACATTGTGACGGACGGATGCCAGCAAAAAAAAAAAGTATACTTAACTGCTAACTTAGGAAATAATTCTAAATGTATTAAATTTAGGCTGAGCTGGAGAAGCTGTACTCAATGAAACAAGATCTGGGAAATGCCTTGCAACATTGTGAGACAATGGGCAGCACTGAGCAGCTGGACAAGGTAGAGGAGAGAGAGGAGTCTGCTGTGACCCAGTTTGCAGTGCAGGTTAATGCTGAATTGGCTGCTTGTGTCAACCAGGTAAGTAGCTTTATTACCAGTTATTTAATCTGAATGATCAGAGGATTGAGGTTTGCTTTTCTGTTGTGTTGTCTCAGTCATCCAGATTTGTGTTTGAATCTATTGCAATGGTACTCAATGGTATTCTCTAGCTAAATTACACCCCAGAGTTATGAAAGAAAATCAGGGACAAGCTGCTGGGTTTGATGCACCATTAATTCAGATTTCCTTTGATTTTGTTTATGATTTCATAACAAACAGTTCATCTTGGTCATAGATTGATTTTCATGAAGGCATTATTTAAAAAAAAAAAGGAATTGTAAAAATCAAGAAAAGAAATTTAATGTGAAAAGAAAGTAAGAATTGAAATAATACTTTTAATTGTTAATATTCTTAAAATTATTAAGACCTATTTTTTATTTTAAAAAATACTGTAAATAAGCAAACATTGCAAATCCCATCTACATGCATAGGAGCCAAAATGATCAATAAATTGATCGTGGGCCCTTAAGATATAGAAGAAGAAGAAGAAACTTACATCTGTTGAAGTAAAGTATCTCAAAATGTGTCTGCTTTGTCAATTTTACATTTGTTTTTCTTTTTTTTTCTTCTTTTTTTTTCTGTTTATCAACTAAATTGAAATAGTTGGATTTTATGCAAATAAAGATATGAGCTTCTTTTGAACAATTTATCAATGTAAGTTTTACATCTCTTAAAGTGCTCAAACATTGAACTCCACATAACTCATGTAGTTTGATCTGTTTTAGCTAGAGCCATGTTTGACAGACTAGTAAAATAGAATAGAAATACTTCAATGTGCATACAAGTGAAATATAGCACTATTTCAAGAAAGCCAATTTTAGAATGTAGCCTAAATATTAAAAATGCAAATCTTGAAAATTAAATAATGTTTTATAAACATTTTTCAAACATATAATCAATAGGCAGAAAAACGCTTGGATCGGCTCAGAGAGATGATTAAAAAATGGGATTCAGTAGACAGAATGAGGCAGGAACTTCGTCATTGGCTACATAAAAAACAAGAAGAGTTGTCAGAAATGGAGAAACAACCTTCCAAACTACATTCAGAAGCTGCTGAATTAGACATTGAAAGACTGAAGGTAGGGTGTTACACATGTGCTACATATATTGAAGATTAAAGTATTGTTGCTATGCATTGATGGCTATAGTTCATTTCTCAAAATTATCTGATAGTGTATCAAGAGATATAGGTAAGGACTTAATAATTTACACTGAATGGGAAATTATGAAAAGTATTAAGTGTAAAAGGTCAAGATTAGAGGAGTGAAGTGGGAAATTATATAGTTTTTGTTCATTCGATATTGACTACTGAGATCATAATATATATAATTGTAAGGATCTTATGGTTATAGTCAAGCAAAGTGTTACATTTTTTTAAAAGAATGTGCAGGATGTTTGAAAATAAAATAATCCAGTCACAGAAAAACATCCAGGCTGATCTAGAAATGCAGGGAGTGCTATGGAGATTCATTTGTATTGTTAAAATATGAAGAAATGGCTTTAAAATTAGATCATTAATATTCACTGTTTTAAGTACTAGTGTAATTACATTATTTAAATGTGAAATCTTATTCACACAAAGCTTATTGAGAAAGTATGACTGTAAATTGAAAACTTATTTAAAAAAAAATTAAATTGAAATGTCATTTAATTTAAATTTGGAAACAAGATTATAAGATACCTATAAATTGAGAAAATTTGGGCAGTTTGATATTGGTGATGAGGAATAGCAATTTTTAACCTTAATACAATATGTTGATAAGAAAGTTCTGGATAAAATATATGTTCTTTTTTTTTTTAGTCAATTTTTTTTCATTATTACGTATTCTTTAAGTACCAATAACATTTCTTTTAAAATTCAACATTTATCAGGCATTCCAAGAGGAGGTAAGAACCAGGGCAGCTGCAATAGAAGAACTCCAAAACCATTATAACTCTCTGACACAGCACAACCCATCATCTGTTGATCCTGTCATCAGAGCCATCAAGGTACACACAATTGTTGTTCCAGTATTAGAGTTGGTCACACAATCAAATCAAAATCGTTACTTAGGGCTATGGGACGGACAAGATTCTAAAAGATCTGAATTTTTATGTCCACAGTTGTGTTTACTATATCTTTATTTATTGAATAGTATGAAGTAAATCAACTGCATGTATTTGATATCCAGGAAACTATCAAAGATAATTCACCTCAGTTTTATATTGATACATTTATTAAAATAAACTAATTTTGACACACTGCTTAGAAAATAACTATTTAATTTTATTCAAATCTTAAAAAGGGTCAAAGCTTAATTAATTTTATTTTATAGGATGATTGGGAGGAGCTTCTAGGTCAGCTTGACATCTTGATCCATAATCGAGAAACTGCCATGGCTAAAGCTGGAGCCTGGAAGGCCAACCAAGACACCATGGATGAAGACCTGGAGGACTACGCCAGGGAACTGGAGAGGCTCGATAAGGAAGATAACACACTACTGGACAAGAGCCTAAAACTGCAGGTAGGTGGTTTCAGTGCTTCTTGTGTAGACGTAATAGAGATTTGGATAATTGGATTCCTGCTTTTACACTTCTCACAATCTAAGATGTGAATTTACTTAATAATAAACAAGTCACAAGATTACTATCTCACACACACGGCTCAAGTACATGTTGTATTAGTTGATGACCATTGATGGAGATTCACTTTAATATTTGCTTTGTCTTCTTTGGTCTTCTAAACATTTTAATATATCATTCACTGAGCCCACTGTGCTGCCTGAGGAAAAATAAAGTCGCTCTCAGATATTTATGTTTAGACCAAATGCAAAAGGCAAACCTTTCACATCATCCTTCAAACCCATAATTTCATGTCTCCTTCATTGTGTAGAATGAAGCACAAATCATATCATTTCACCAACTGTTGGCTTGGTTTGTTTGTGTGCTCATCACAGAATTGTTTACGAAAGGTTTTGGAAGTTGACAGTGGGCTCTAATTGTAAAAGATGAGAAGAAAAAAAGGATGGCAGGGAAATTATTATTGCTTTTCCTAGTCATCAGAAGAGCCATTCTCAATTAATTGTATTGGAATTTATTCTTCGTTTTTAAAAAATGGTCCTATTGCATCAGAAAAAAAAGAGAAAAAAAAAAAATCATACTGGGAATAAATATGACACACTGGATTAATTTAATTATAAACACATTTTAAATTTGTTTTTTTTCCATGATTTCTATTTAGTAGATAAACATTTAAAACATTTTTTTGTGATATATAAAGTTTAGAATAAAGTTAAATTAAGTTTACTCTTGCATCCTTGACTCCCAAAAGATTATTGCATACAAATCAATTTTTAAAAAAAACAATTAGAGTAATGTCAGAATTATTTTTTTATACTTATGGTGGTGCATGCATTTCTTCTGTTAGAAAATTTTGAATTTAGTGGCTTCCATTTGTTAAAGCTGGCCATTTCAATTAGAATCTCTAGCACATCTTACTTTACTGCTTTTTAGTAGATATCTAAAACTAAAAATTTTTTTTACTTTCCCTTTAAAAATTTGCTTGTATTTCTTAAATTTCTAAATTTCTTTTTTTTTTCATGTGACCAGTTTGGTTCTTGATATCACAAATTTATTAAAATACAAATTATAAAAGATATTTATTAATTTGTTTTTTTTTAAAAGGACGAATTATCACATACTTTTCAGGTTTTTAGCTTTGGAAATTTTAGTGCAGGCAAAAATTAAAAACATTTGCAACAATTTTTATAATTTCATACTATAAAAAGAAACTAATATTTAAAAAAAAAGGTAAAATCATCTCAGCATTATTTACCAGAACTTTCTTTATAATTTTAGTGTTAGAGACACACAAACAAACCTCTCACATTAGAGTTGACAAGATAAAGCATTTTTTTTTCTGCCTAGAATTCTTTCTCAGTTTCAGTTAAATTAGGCATAAAATGATAGCAGATAACATATTTATCTGCTAATATTTTTTTCTAAAGTAGATTTTTCATTTTTTATTTCCACTAATCCACCCCAGAGTTTTTCTAAATATATGTATTGTCAGTTATGTTTTCATGTGCCGACCTTCCTTAAAATAGTTAAGGTTTAGTTTTATTAAGATTTCCTTCATCCTAGAACAAATTGAGGCAGCTTGTTTCATTCATATTTCCTCTTCATTTCATCTGCATTACACAATTATCTTTGTATTGAGAACAGGTTTGTATATCACCACAATAGCTCTTTACTTTAATTGGACATTCATTATAAGAAATTTGACATTTCAATGAAAGGATGAAGTATGAAAAAATATATTATTTTATAAAGAAATAAAGAATGATCTTTTTGGATGTGAGCCAAATTATATGGCAGGATACAATCAAATTGTTAACATCAAGGGCTTGCCAGTCATTTTTGATGACTTCTCAGAGTTGCAGCCTAAAAATAAAACTATGTGGCAAAGAGTCACACGAAGTTTCAGAATAGAAATATTTCATGTGAAGTATGTCATGATACGCATTCAATGCCAAATGAATAAGAAATGAAAAATGATCCCATTTTATTTCATAACTCTGGTATCTTCCTTTGTTATGTTAACCAGCAACTCACAGACAACCAAGCAGTGAGCGGCATTGTCGTCACCCCATTTAGCACTTGGAACGTGCAATAACTAGCGTTTCAGTACTGTTTGATCACATTGAATATTTAATTCAAGAGTAATTTTAGAAATATTTAGGCTCAATATTTAAAAATTTGTTTTTGCATGCTATGCTAATTGTCTTTGTCCATTTGGTGTTTGTCAAGACCAGTGATGTAAAGTAATTCTTTGTTTTTCAAGCTATGGATGTTTCTCTCTCTTCCTCTTCTATCTTCTTATCAAAAAAGGTGTCATTTCCAGAGTGATAATAATTTGTTCATTTCTGGCATGGCAGCCATATTAATTTAATAAATGTTAATAATAATTACCTTAGCCCTTTTGGAATTTCTTGTAATATTTCTGTACATTAGGGAGTGATGGATTAACGAGAGCTTCATCACTAACAGATTACTGTGTGATAGTTTAGTTACTTACACAATTAAACCAATTTTTTTAAATGATGAGAATTGTTTTTTTTTAAAATAAACTTTTATGCATTTTGATAACAACAGTTAATACATTTTTATGTTTTGAAAACATTTTTACACAGTATCAGTTCTTTAAATTAACCAATATTTATAATATCTTTGAGGGATTTGTTTTTCTCAAGTAAGAATAGAAAACTTGATATTAAGAAGTATTGCATGCACATCTGATTTGAAAAATTTATATATGTCACACACTGAATTCATGATAAGGAATGAATATATTTATGACATTGTAGTGATAAGTGGTAAGATTTTTACATTAAAGGTTATTGTATCATCTCTATCAATTATTCCATACGACTATGTTTCTCAATTATATTCTGCATAGTTATGCTTTTAGCTTGTAAACAGCGAATGCATAGAGATTTTCAGCCAATTTTGCTTTTACGTGACCGGTAACTGTAAACATATATTACTTTTTTTTTAAAACTATTCATTTAAACTTTTTAAAAAAGTGAATAACTTTTTATTAATTAAGTCCAATACATAAAGACCCACTAAAAAATAATGCCAAAGGATATATTTTCAATACATTAATTATAATACTTTCCCTTAGGTGTAGCATTTACTTAGTTTTTTTTTGTTTGTTTTTTTAAATAAGAGATTCAATTCATTCCAAAATGTCACAGAGTTTAGTAATGAAAAGCTGTATTGATTACTATTTCCCCCCGTCATTCAGAAAGCTATAGCAAACAATTACCAATCAATAGGCTCTAGAAATAATTTTTCTCACCACCGTAGCATGGGTTTGGGGGTTGTAATTAACGGGTGTTGTTTGTCCTGCCATGTGAAAGAGCCAAGGGAATATTCCCATGAGCTATTTCTTTGGTCCTTTATGAACCTTTGTGATGCCATAAATTACATACATGTAGGTGCACTAACTCAGCTTGAACGCAGTCCTTCCTTTATTCCACTAACTCAGCAGGGGTTATGTCTTTACATGTGAGTTATTACATGGTGTGGCAATTGAGTTGTTATTTTATCAGAAATAGGTCATTAATGGGTGCCTACAAGACAAGCACATTTTATTATCCTATTGCAAATAAGCTGAAAGATTAATGATGAAAATTTTCATGTAGATGTTTTATGATAAAAAGAAATACATTACAAATAGAACTGACATTAAGGACCGATTTTTCCGAAGGTGTAATTAGAAATAAATTTTCAGAAGTTAGATTACGTGAGTTTATCAATAGAGGAAGTTAATTTAATTTTTTTTAAATTAAGTTAAATTTTGCTACAAAAAATGGATTACATCAGTGGACCATAATTTCCATGAGTGAATATTTTATAATTTTGTTGACGCCTGTTAGAAGCCATGTATAAAACCTGCAGGTCAGTTTTAAAGCAACAATTTCTTTTTCATTCCAAAGTTAGCTCTAACAACACAGGAAAGGAAATCAATAAAATGAAAGATACTGCATTTGGTTGCTTATACTTATAGTATCTAACTGAAATGTTTTAACACTCTCTAGGTACTTTAGTCTACATTAACTTGGCTGTCGATTAAAGAACCATTTAAGTTTTTCAATGAATTGTAGATAGTTTGGATCTGGAGAGCTTATCTGTATGCTTTGTACATATCTGGTGTAAGCTGTATTGGTCAATAGTAAGTTTGGTAATCATATAGTTAAATAAAGTTTGTCCTTCTCTGTGATATTTAAAAAAAATACTTTATGGTTGGTACCTAGGCACTTATTTAGTTGCTGTGTATTATATAGTATCAGATAGCTAGCAAACAGTTTATCATAATGTCTCTATCCATTTTATAATTATACCAGAAATTAGCTGTAAAATTTATGCTCTCTCTTATCATAATCCCAGCAAACCTAACAATTACATTAGCTTTTTAGGAATGGGGTTAACAGATTAATAATATTTAATATTATAAAATAAATGTAGGCGTACTGATAACAGAATCATATTTTAATTTGTTTTTTCAATGTCAAACATATTTCTAATATTAACTAATAATTTTGGCCCATGGCCTTTATTTCTGATTGGAATCAATTGAGACACAACTAAATTAGTTGGTTTGAGGTCTGAACTTCAATTATATTCAAAAATCAGGAAAGCATACTGATGTCTAAAAATAGCAGTTTTAAATGAAGATTTATTGGAATAATATTCCTTGACAAATTTTATTTTTAAAATCTTGTATGAATTTTTAGTAGTTTTACAGCAAGAGTAGTAAGGAATGCATGCCTTATTACAGTTTTTTTCAAAGGGATCTTTGTGGACCGGCACCGGTCTGCAAGATTTCTGTTGCAGGTCGGCATAACATTAATATTTATGGTCAAATGAAAAGAAAAAATAATTAATAAATCTGATTCTGGTCCCTGGTGCAATTTCAAAACTTTTCCACCAGTCCACCTAACTTTTAAATATTTAGAAAAACAATTTTACTTTACGTTAATGATAGAGTAAATTCATAGGAATCTTGTCAAATAGAATATTAGTTTCCAATTTAAAACGCATTAGTTAAATTTTCAAAAATTTAAATTATCAACATTTTTTTTTTACTCTCCATTCTCTACTTACTAGTGTTACCAAACAAATGCTTGGTGGATTCCAGGTCAACGTTTCTCTTGCTTTCGCTTTTTTTAAATTCATCCATTCATTAAAAATTTAGAACACGTTTTAATTTTAAAAATGTGAAAGAGACATAAAAAAAAAAGGAGACACAATTTTTTTACAAATATACTGAATATCGTTGCTGAGAATTTTGTGTATGAACTAAAAAATCGAATCAAGCCAAACAGTTTAATTCATCATCTTTTTTTTTCTCATCCACTTCATTTGTTAATTGTCCTTCATCACACTAAAAAAAAGAAATTGCATCACCAACATAGGTCCTAATAATTTCATGTATCCTTAAAAGGACAAAACATTTAATATTAAATCTTTTACTTAAATGTTTTATTAGTTAGGCACAGGTCAATAAATTCCTATTTTTAAATTAAGCTTTCTCATTTTCTTCAAAATTAATGACAAGCAAAATTGTTTAAAAAGAAACAAACTGAATATAAGTTGTTGGTCTGATATAACAGCATTATTGATAGAAATATCCTGCATTTTCTTTAATACTTGTGATAAAAAAATTAAAATACCTAATCAACATTGGCATGTCTTTGTCCAGACACAACGAAGACGCTGCAGATCAACACAGACCAGGTCATCTGGAACTGCCGGCTCAGACAGTGATGACGAGGGACCTGGTCATTCGCCTTGGAAATCACAGCGAGGAGGTCCACAATCAAGAGGTGGTGGCCCGAGAGGACCGTTTCCTTTCCCTTCATCCCACTTACGGACATCCCGAAGTGGACTCGGACGGTCCCCCAATACTTCGAGGTCTAGCTTAAGACCTCGTCGGCGCCACAATGAATCTCAAGATCTTAAAGCGACTAAGAAAGGATTTGCTGGTGCTAATGCCACGCTAGAGTCCGAAAGTGAAGAGTCAGGATATGGTGAAACCTATGGAGAAACCACCATGCACGCCTCAAGTTTTGATGCCCACTTGGATGAACCATCTATGTGGTTCGGGTCTGAGCACACACCCCTAACCTACATAGAATCGGATGATGAGTCAACAGCCAGTTACATCAGTGGAATCTTTTTACCAACAGACCCTAAGTTGCAGAGACAAAAAGGCACACAAACACCTGGCCATGTCAGGACTCAGACTGTGGAAATGCAAGACTTATTCAGCAATACCATGACCCAAACAGAGGAGCCACCGCGTTCTATAGGCATCCAAACCTTAGACTCATCTATGCATTCTATTGGTGCCCAGACAAAAAAGAAAAGCAGCTCACGTGCTGACCTACTTAGAAGTATTTTGCATGAGGTCAAGGACATAAAGCATCAGCAAGGTTTAGATGATACGAGAGATGAAACATTCTCCATAAACTCAGATGCGACCATTAACAGAGAGATGCTGGAAGCTTTATCCCGTGATGTTGCTGCACTGAAGGCTGCAGCAAGTTATGGAACGGCCATGACACAGACTGCAACTGAACAAGCTACCCAAACCCTGAATGATTCTCAGCGCCAGGCTAGACAGGGTAGATTAAATGACATGCTAGATGAAATACGACGACTGAAGGGTGGCAACAGGAGCGCCACACCTAGCAATGTCCAGAGCACGATTGTCACTCCAACTCGGTCACTCAACAGGACAACACCTGTCAGGTTTGATTCACCCGCTCCAGCACCTGTTGTGAACGGGCATCATTACCCATCTACTCATGATCTCAGTGCCACATTTCCACCGGGAGACAGGCGCAGAGTCACACAAGACCAACTGAATGAAATAAACGAAAGACTGGATAGACTAAGTAGTTACCAGATTCCCAGACGCCAGGGTCCATTTGTGACACCCTATCCACCAGAAATGATGTTTGCTCCCCAGGTAGTTCCCGTAGTAGCTCATTCCCCAACCCTTCCCAGACGGCGCTACAGAGTCAGGGAGTTTGCCCGCTCATATGATGACATTGACATGTTGTCAGACGATGATTACAGGGGGAGAAGGAGGCGGAGCAATCAAGAATCCAGAGGTCGTGATGGTGTGATGGACAGATACCATCTTGATGATGCCCTCCTGGAGGCAACCATCGCCTCCAAACATCTCAAACGCATGTCTGCAAAAATGAAGAGAAATCTGCGAGAAGAGCTAAACAGATCAAGATATTAAGTAATTATTTTATTTCTTAACATATTTAACAGTTCCCATGTTGATCGAAAGGCATAACTTAAACCCCCTCTCCAACAGGGGATGTTATAAAGGATGTAGTTAATGTTTTTTATGTTCACAACCAGGCACTAAACCTTGTCTTTGATTGTAGCTACTGTAGCTAGTTTTTTTTTTAAAGTATATTGAATAATTTTCAGACATTTAGTGTTTACGGTGTACAATGTTGTGTTTAAGTAAAAATAAGTGTATCCAGAGTTAGTCTTAAAAAGACTCAGTGATTCACAAAGCAGCTAACTACATGTTTGAGCTTAGGTTCAGTTATACATCACACTGTGTATGAGTGCCAAGAGACAAAATTAATGTCTCTGCTAAGGCCCTGCCATTTGTGTTTTGTAATTAACACACATTTTAAAATGTAATATGCAGTTGCTGTCATAACTAATGATCCTTAGCTTGTGATATTTTTAAAGATGATATTTCTCATTCATTTTGCAGATTTGTTTTTTTTATATATTTAAGGATATTCTTTAATTAATTTGTGATAACTTGTGATTGGTGTATTATTATTTATTGAATCAAGTTAGCAATATTTATTAAAGACTTATTTACAAATTTGTTTCATGTTAATTGTCCAATATTTTATTTATCTACTTTATAGCCGAGCCAATTTTTTAAAGTCTTCTTAGAACTTGTAAAAACTTTTCTTATACATTTTATTACATATATTTAATATTTCCGTCCATGACATGATGACAAATTATATAAAAAGATATACATATAATTTTATTGTTAAAATTTTAAACATATAATATTTGAAAAGTTCTCATGAAAAGTCAGAACTCATTGGAAATCTCAATTTCTGTTTAGTAATATTAAACATCACATTTTTGAATCATCTAATTCTTTGGAAAACAAAATAAAGTACAGATAAGATTACATATTATGGAGATCAGGCCTGCAAAACTCAAAAGGTATGGCGGGCCGTAATACTTTATGAACAACTTGTGGGGGCTGTAATATGTTATGAAAAACTTGTGTGAGCCGAAAAAAAATAGGACAGAGGGGAAAGCTATTAAGAAAATAATAATAAAAAAGAATATTTCATTACTTCGCTGGTTGCAAAATGGGTGCTGGTGGGCTGTATGTTGTGCAGGCCTGGTGTAGATGAATATTTTTGCTGTTAACAGAAATGTATTAAATCCTTTTGCTAAAATGATTATGTTTTAAAGATGCTGACAGAGATGGAATTATTTAGCATAAATATTTGTCAAAGTCACCAAATACTTAAACATCATATATATTCTTTCTATTGTAAAATGCAACATTGATTCTTTAAAATAATTAAATTGTATCCATGTACAAGTGAAAAGTAAATGAGTGCTACAAAGAAGCTTACATGATGCATGCTTGGCCACCAGAGCTCACTGTGCTGCTTCTTATCTCAACACCAAGTCAACTGCACTGCCAAATAAGTATTGGACTTGTTTTGTTGATTGTTCTACACATTCCAAATGTATTGCAAACTTGCCAACAATTCTGGTGACACACTGTCATTTCCTTTTAATGACTGATATTAATGTAAATAAGCAGCCATTTTTTATTCTGCTTGTTGAACAGAAAATCCAACATTTACCTTGAAATATTGATACAATAATTATTCACATGAACTGACATGTGTTTTTATCATACCTAAAATCTATACAACCTTAATTTTTTATTCTATGCTGTTACATCTTCTATTACTTGCTATCTGTTACTTCCATCCCGGAGACTATTTTATTAAAGGGAAAAAAAATGTTTAAATGATCAAATGTTTCTGCTCATTTCAATGTATTGTGATTATTTACCATATGATTAAATGGGCTAATTGTTAAAATATATCCACATACATGTACAAAAGTGTCTTCCAGGACATACAAGAGTTAAAGAAATGTTGTAGTTGTAGCACTAAATGAGTTTGATAAAAGAATTTGTTTTAAAAAAAAAGTCATTTCAGTGTTTAAAAGGAGCCCCTCAGTCACTCTATAATGCAACTCACACTTTACATTTCAAATGGTAAACAAGTTTGAAGGTAAACTCCAATTTCAAAACTCCAACTGCAATCTAACTACAATTGATGTTACTGATCATTGGTTGATCTGCTAAAAAAATATAGAAATTAAATTAAATGGAGCATATATTTACTGATTAAGTCATCAGTGTAATGACCCTCATGGGACATTTGTTTTTGTTTTAATGGAATGCTCAAATTATGAATGTAGGTTGATTATCTGTCCTGCAGGTGTTTCTTTTACATGTGATATTGATGAACTCTTAGATCATATTATGTGACTACATAATCAGCATTTGAGGGCAGGATGTGAAATGTTTTTATGTAAAGTATCATATTTATGTAACTAGCCAAATGTTAATGTGGGTATGGAAAATCCTTGAGAAGACTGAATACAAAAATTTAGTGGTGTATTATTAAAATGTTGAGTTTAATATTTAGGTAAGTGTTAAATTTTATCAAATTGAACTATGAAAACTTATATTTATGTAAGGGCAAGGGCAATGCTGTGATAATTTTTCTTATATTACTTTTTAATAGTACTGGTATGTACAGGTCATAGTGGTGGCCTTTATGTAGTCACCAGCAGAACTTTATATGGAATCAAAAGTCAAATCATTCTGTCAATTAGTATTGTATTTCCATCCATAATGATTGATTTATTTTCTTCTACATTATTAAGATTTCCATATTTTATGCATCATTATTTAACTTTTTTGTGTAAGCCTGTTGTATTATTTTTTTTTTTAATTGAAAATCTATACTAATGTTATATCATGTCAGGGAAGTAAAATATTTTAATTATGTCAAGTTCTTAAATTTCTCAGACTAGTTATTTTTGTAAAATTAATACTAAAAATGCAAATAATAAGTTAAAATGACTTTTAAAATTTAAAAAAAGTCATTTTAACTTATTATTTGCATTTTTAGGATTAATTTTTTTTTTACATCTATATAATAATGAAATTAGATAAATATATATATATATATATAATCCCTGATCATATTAGCTATTTATTCATACTCAGTAACCCTTTAAAAAAAAAAGATACTTAATACATCTGTGATAACTAATAATACTTTTTTTAATACCAAAAAATGGGAAACTGCTTTCTTTTTAAAGGCCATGGAATAAAAAGACAAATTTTATATAAACTTTCACTTAAACAACATTTTTACTACATATGGCAATTATTGTCTGCATAAAACAGAAAGTTGTATAATTTTATGTCCGCGCACTCATTTTCTGAAAGACATCTGAGTAAGATTTCCTTTGTACTTCATAAATCTTATATATCTTTATAATACTTACAATTTTTTTTTTTCAAACTATGTGACAAAATTGTGAATTTCCCATATTAAAGATTACATTATATCCTTAGAAATAAAAAAACACTCAGTAAATGACACCTATTTTGCTCTAATTACTTTTCTAAGTCTGTTAATGTTTTGTTTGTCATATGTTTGGTTGATTTTGGTCTAGTTGTTTGCTCTTATTCGATCACATGATTTTGTTATTTTAGTATCTATTGTTTTAGATAGTTGTGTTTTCTTCTAAAGTGGAAATCAGAGTCATACCTCAGTCATTTAAATTATCAAATCAACGTTTAAGAATTACCCTTTAAAAATGTTGTAATTGAATTTTAGTGGCATAGTTTGGAAAGTTCCACAAATTGGCAATTTGGTTTCACTATAAAAAAAAGTGTTCATCCTGGTTGTTTATAACAGTTTTGGTAATCGAAAACTTATATCTCTGCCATTTTAATCATTTAAATGACTAAAAAATTTTGCCAAAGCATTATATTTCTATTGACCCTCTTCAGTGAGAAGTTTCTTTCTTTTGCACATATAATTAGAAAGAATGTAATGTCACCAACTGACAAACTACAGGCCTTGGACAAGTTCTTATCCATTGAGGAGAGTTCTCTGAGAGAGTTCACTGCTTTGAGTATTCATTATTTTCTCAGAAAAATATGGGTGAAAAAAAGTCATGAGTTGAAGTCACTCAGATTGTGCATGCTTATACTTACACAATTTTAACAAGATTTTGTTTCTTTAAAAAAATGATAAAGTAAAGACAATATTCCAATGATTAATTAAACTAAACTTCATAGCTTCATTTCAATCTGGTCATGCAAATAATATAGAGTTGATTTGATAGTTTAGTGACTTAACTTGTTGAAGACTAAAGTTCAAACAAATTATTTAATTTTTTTTTTTAAATTTAAAAGCATAGTTAAATGAAACAAAATTTGCAGTGGTTCGTGGGTTTTAGTGGTTTACTTGGTTTACTTGGAATTGTAACCACATATCCAGTTCCACTAATTAAATGTTTCCTATGAAAAATAAAATTCTTCAAAGAGAATTAAATTCCAAGGAATACAGACATTAAAGTAATTTTAAAAAATATAAAAATCAACAAATAGCAAATATTTTGATCGTTTTTTATTTCCAAATTAAAACCAAAAAAAAAATATTTATTTTAATTTTTTTTTAAAAAAGAAATGCCATGAATGATACTTTTTCTTGTAAATGGGTTAAGGAAGAAGATATATGAAAGATGCTTGGAATCTTGTTAGCTAATCTTAATCTGTTTAAGATCTTGATGGTTGATGTAATGACTTGTCAACCTAACGTGGCAGCTATTTGTGGAGAGTCCCCGAATAAAAATCTTAGCTACCAAAGACAGCAGTCCTTTGGCGTGGGATAATAATGGTCTGTCTACACTCTTCTGACAAAATACAACGTTAACTTTCAATCATTGATGGGAGCAACATGACAGCCCAGGAGTTTTTACCAAATAACTTCTAACTACTATTTGAGTTTTTACCAAATAATTTCTAAATGACCATTGGAGTTTTTACCAAATAACTTCTAAATAACCATTGGAATTTTTACCAAATAACTTTTAGATCACCATTGGTTATAAAAAATATAACTTGGCCATAAGATCATAAGAAAATATTTTGTTTAAATATCTAGCTTACCCCCCCAGTGGTATCTTGTAAAATTTCTCCAACTCACAATTTAGTATACATTAAAATGTGTTAAAAGATATGAGAAATACTTTCTCAATACCAGTACATGAGATAACTTGAATATTTTGGTGCTAAAAATAAAAACATGACACATTAAATTTATGTTATTTTATAACTTATACATGGTGAAGTCAAGTTGTGATGGTTCAGTAACTGGCAGGGAAATGACTTAAAATACAATGTCACACTATGCAAGCTTTATTTCATATTGGAATGAAATATTTCATTTAACACTACAACCAATTCACTTATAAGCCCAATATTATATATTACATCATATAAGAATTTGAGAAAAAATAAGATAGAATAATTTAAAATGATAAAAATGATTATAATAAAACATTATATAATTTCAAGTTACTACGGCCACTACCTATCTAAAAGATTAAATAAACATTTTTAAAAATAATATTTTTACAACACTGTTTATAAAATATCTATTACATATAATTCATATATTTAATTCCAGTGTTAAGCTATTCTATGTTTTTTTTATATTCATTTATTTATTCATAGTGTAATAATTTAGGCTGCACAGCTCTTTTCAAATTGGCAATTAATATACTAATAATAACAAAACCAATACTTATTGTAATAAAAATGTTTAAAAAAACAACTAAAAGCAACATAAAGATACATTTGTCAATTCATTAATTCAAATATATAATAATATAATTAAACAAGCCCTAAAAACAAAGTTTTGCATATAAATCCTTTATATAACATAATATCAAGCAACAGGGGGTGGGGCTGAAAATTGGACAAAACATACATTTATTTCATGCCCATGAACTAACTATATTAACATTCTAATGACCCAACCGCTTTTACATTACAGAATTATGGCACCAACTATTTATTATTATTATTATTTAGGCATTTTTGTATAGCGCTTAAATTACAGCTCTAAGCGCTTTACAATTATTAAAAATATGTAAACTATTTAAACTGCTAAAGTAAAATAAAAATGAAAAACCAGAGACACTAGAATAGTAACTACAATGTGAAAAATGACTATAAAAAAAAGTAGCTCAAACATTAAAATGGCTATAAAAACTAGTACACTTGGCACGTTTTGGCATATACTTAAATACAGGATCAACCCGAGACAGAAAAGCAAAGGAAAATATCATGCACCAAATGGATTTGCGATATTTTTAAGAATCTCATTTTGTGCAGTCATCAGGATTTTTATTTTGTGAATCAGTGGCATCATATTTCCTTCATCTTCCCCTTCAAAAACAGGGAAGCTGAATTTTGGGGGTGTGGGTTGAAAATTTAATAGTATGTCTTGTCATCAGCCAAGAGTATATGTGCCAAGTTTCAGCTTGATAGGTTGATGGGAAGTGGGTCAATTAGCCATTCGAAGATTTTGCCGCACACACAGAAAGAAAGAAAAACACACCAACAAAAGGAAATTAATATAAAGAATTTATTAAACAACCCCAAAAAAAACAAAAATTTTCTTTTAAAGTCCTTTATATGCATTTTTTATTTTCATGTTATTATTAGGCCTGTGAACTACGAACAATGAACTATTTCAGAGAAACGTATCAGGAATTTTTATTACATGAAATCAGTGGCATCCTATTTACTTCATCTTCCCCTTAAAAAACAGGAAAAACTGAAAATTTGAAAGATTGTGTTGTCATCAGCAACGAGTCTGTGTGCCAAGTTTCAGATGGATATTTTGATGGGAAAGGGGTCAATTAGCCTTCTGAAGATTTTGCCACATACCCAGCCACAAAGAAACACACGATCAAAAGTGAATTTATTATAAAGGATTTTAAAAAAACACACATTTAAAAAAAAAAAAATGATATTGGTTGATGTGAAATGGATTAAGAGGCTATTCTAATGTTTAACCGCTGAAATAGAAATTTTGGCTCTTTAAAATATATTGTTTAGGCAGAGGTAAGTGGAGACAGGATGGATTAGTTGACAGTTTTGAATGTGGTGCTACAGTGTGTTCAGTGTAAAAACTATAATTTCATAAAAAATGATCAGTACTCCACTGTCAATGGCATGAGCTCCCATTGATATCTTATTTTGTAACAAAATTAATTGTCTAAAGGGGAATAATGTTCTAAAAATAAGACAAAGAAACTTGTTTTGTTAGCCCTTGCATCACCATGGATACCACCCTAGCCTTCCTTCAGTTTCAGTTAAGCCAATCGCTTCATGTATTAAATGAGTGTTAAATTCCATTACTTTTATTGAATTATATGACAGAACTTGGAAATGATTGCAACACATGCAACAAACGCACACGCATGGTTACACTCATGCACACACACACACACTTTGGATACTCAGTATAGTGAGCCAGTCAGAATGAGACATGAAATATTAATTGGAAATAAAGGTGCCATGGCCATAAAAGTATGACTCTTGCTAAGACAAATCAATTTCATAAAATTTGCTGCAAGTACATTATTATTTTCAGAGCTTTGTAGTTTCATTTAGCTGACATTTAGTTTCACACCAATTGCGCATCAATTTTATATTATTATTGATTGAATTCAGTTAAAAAGTACCAACAAATTATTTTAAAAAGATGTAAAGGCTCTATACTTGCAATTTTTATTAGGAAATGAATAAAACAAAGTAAGTTCAAACCTAAAAAGAGGAACGCAACAAAACAACAAATTCTGACAGGAATGTCGGCAGGAAGCCTTCGTCAATATTTATTGCCTCATTTTGGGTGTAAAGTCTGTGTGGCATTTTGCTGGTGTAAAGTCTGTGTGGTATTATGCTAGTGTAAAGTCTGGAAGGACAATTAATATTTCCTTTCTTTTTGATATACCTGACCTTGTTCCATTATTTTGCTGGGTCTGGGTTTTTTCGGTGTGTGCTAATAATCAGCATTTCAGGGTATCTGGGTCAGTACATGGCTCAGACCTAATCAAAATTACTGATAATTAGTTCCAGTCTTATTTTAATATATTTTGAAAGGTCCCTCATAGACTTTACACCAGCAAAATACCACACAGACTTTACACCAGAAAAATACCACACAGACTTTACACCAGCAAAATACCACACAGACTTTACACCAGAAAAATACCACACAGACTTTACACCAGCAAAATACCATACAGACTTTACACCAGCGAAATACCATACAGACTTGGACCGAAAAGTAAAATGCAAATTTATTTTATTCTTGGTAAACTTTACTTTACCAAACGATCAGTTATTCGAATTTAAAATCATCTCCTTATAGTTCTAAATGTATTGTATATTAAATTATTAATATAGCAAAAGCTTTATGTAACCATTTGTTTTGAACCAAGGGCCATAATTTTTATGTTTGAATTAAATAAAGATTTAGAAATTTTACAATTACCAGCTAAGTAAAACTGAAAATGTAAATAAATCAAAATTTGTATGTCACACACTAGTGAAGCAATAATTTAAAAAATTTCCCAGAATGCAGCAGAAAAATGCTATCTAAAAAAAATCAAATAAAGGTTCGAGTAAAAATATCATTAGACATTTCTGAGTTATGGCATTTTAATCATGTACCTCGTACAAAAAAGTAGGCCTACATGGTTTCTGTTGTCAGATTCAGATTTTCCAGATAAAATTTTTAGAATTATCCATCTTCAAAATGTCTCCAGATAAGTATTCAGCTTAGAATTATAATCGGTTGCTCATGACATATTTTAAGATCCTTGCAACATTGAAAACATAAATAATTTTTTAAAGCTAACCCATATACTTCAGCATTTCTGTGTCAGTTCTTTGTTAATTCTTAGATTTCATAATCCTAAGAGAGGATGGCTTTTCAATCACAGATATGCTCTGACTTACCATGTTAACATTTAAGTTCTCTCTTTTTCAATTGAGCCACACATTTTTAACAACAGTATAGCATTTAGCACCCATGATACCTCCTTCCTTTTCCTTACCTCATGTATAATATATTAATTCCGCTGACCAAAATTACTATATATTTAAGGCAGCTTTTTAAAAATCTTTCATGTGGCCTTGAATCCAAATCTTTTGCAAAGAAATCAAAATTAGATCCTCTTGCTTTTTTTTCCCCATCTAGACACTTACTGAGGCTGTTACTAAACAAAAAGCCTCCCTAGCAGAATACAAGACCAGAACTGAGGAATTTGTTACTGAGTTGAGTCAACATGATCAAAACCTTGTCATGGAGAAAGTCAGGTGAGACTTTTAGAGAAAGTCAGATGAGACTTTTAGAGGAGGTCAGGTGAGACTTTTAGAGAAAGTCAGGTGAGACTTATAGAGGTTAGGTGAGACTTTTAGAGAAAGTCAGATGAGACTTTGATCATGCTGTTTACTTTATGGAGAAGACGGTATGTTTAGCTAAATTGGGAAAAATTTTGGATGGTATTACATAATAACGTAAATGACAACATGTATGTCTTCAAAACTGGTTCGTATAAATACAGGCAAGGATAAATAGCCTAAAAATAAGAAAAAAATATAGTTGAGTGTTAATAAAGGTAATGATGTCATCGTGTAAGGAACATTTTTAAAATTGTATAAGTCATTAACTACTTGCATAATGTTTGAAATGTTCAGTTGCTGAAAAATGATAATAAGGAAGAAGGTAATATAGAAAAATGTGAAAATGAACAAGAGCTAACTTTTAAAATGACTTTGTAAATTTGTAGATGTAATTCCTTTTGTCTACTTTGCTCATCTGCTTCTTGTGATGGTGGTTGCCATTTCTTTTTTTTTTCTCAAATGAAGTTTTATATTGAACTATTAATTAATTTGAATAGTCGTAGGGATTTTTACTTAAAAAGTAGAGTCATTTTTTTGGTACTCTGAAAACCTATCAGGGGGACTACAAAATTTGGTTTATTTCTATTTCCTGGCATAGAGTTATACTGATGATTTTGGTTATGCAAAAAAGGAGTTGTAGAGATTCTAGAACCTGTATTTTAGGAAGCTGATAAAATAATGAAAGCTATTAACTAATTCAACAATTAACAGAGACATAGAGCACAAACTGCTCAGCCTTGAGAACAGCATACAACATAAACAGACTGGGTACTCAGTCATAGAGGCTGACCTTGCAAGCATCAGGGAAGAGGCTGAAAAGTACATTGAGTGGCTTGAGAAACAAGAGGAGATCACAAATCTTGACTGCCCCGTGGTACACGCGGTAGAGGAAGTTGAGAGAAAACTTGAAGAGTTTAAGGTTAGATTATTTCTTATTGAATTATTTTGAGTAAATTTGGTGTATCATGTAAAGGTCAGCTTTTTATTACTATTGAAAAACATTCAGGTGTTCGGCATTTGCCTGAAAAACTTTCAGATGGTAAGCATTTGCCTGACTAAACCCAAATATATTTAGTTATAGGTTAAAAAAGTTCTCCCAACATATGTGGATAGAGTTGCGCTTAAGTGATTGATTTGGTGAAAAATTCATCCCAAAGTCATATTTCTTCAATCATATTGGAGAACAAGATGAATCAGTTTAGAAAAAGATGTTGTTAACATAGGAAACTTCATCAGCTGGAGTTATATCATAGTTTCTATTATTATAGTATCAATTTATCATTCGGACAAATGAATACATTCTTAAAATTGTAAAATCTTGGGTTTTATGTAATCTTTATATTGCTCATTTAATTTTTTCGTTTGTTTTTGGTATCTTTAATTAAAATATGATTGATTTGCTTGTTGCCAGAACCTAGAAACTGTGTTAAACCAGAAGCAAGCCACACTTCAAGTAGTTAAACAAAAGGCCCAGGCCCTTTTGATGGACCTGCCATCTCATGAGAGAGAATCTGTTGACAGACTCATAGGAGACGTTCAGGCAAGACACTACAAACTTTACAGTTCTCTGTCTGAAAAATCCCAGGCCTTGACAGAAGTGGCCCAAGAAAAAAGAGAATTGATAGAAAAGATTGAAAAAGAGTGCAAACTGCTTCAGGAGAGAGAAAATGAAGCAAAAGTGTTTGAAAACTTAAGTCTCCTTGCATTAGATGTGGACAGACAACTAGAAAAATGCAAGGTAAACATTTGTTAAAATTGATTTAAAAATCCAGCCACCCCTCAAAGTTTTATTGTGATTAATTCATAACTTGATTCTTGAATGTAGTAGACTACATCTAATAGTCTTTTTCTTATGTACCATTTGAGAAATCATTGATTACTGTTAGATAAGCTAAATGCAATGCTCTTTACATTCCCATTCTATCACTCAACAGTAATTCCCTTGCAATAAATCTCTTTAATGATATTATTTCTTTGATTTAAGTCACCACTGGTAACATAAACTTTTTGTAGTCATTAAAAATTGTGGCCCACATGATGTAATTATAAATTACAATTTCATAACTATTGTTTATATAATGCCCAGTCTCTAACTGCCAAAGTACAGAATCAAGGGGAGAGATTGAATGAGGTCAGAGCTAAAGCAGATGTTTTAACTCAAGGAGCCAGTGACGAAGGGAAACAACATTGGAATGAAATGGTTGATGGTAAACTCTTTTTATTGGTTTCTGTTAAATTCTTTTTATAGCTAAATTTCCTCTTTAGAGATGAAGACATAATTATACTTGCTTAGTATTTTACTAATTACTGCATGATTTAACTAGCAGTATATCTACTTATGGATAAAATAAAATCTAACATTATCTTATTTTCTGGAATTGTTCTAAGCAATTATCTTAATCTATAAAAATAATTACCTTGAAAAATGTGCACTTGCTAAAAAAAAAAAGTCAAAGTTTAAAGTAAAAGTGTCAAAAAAACTTTCCGTCAACAGCATGCAGCTGAAGTATGATAAGGGAATGCACTTAGTAAGACGGTTACTTAAAGTTAAATTTTTGCTACCACATCTGATTTGATTTCTCTTTGAGAAAGAGTTACAGGAAAGAAATATTTGTAAACAAGAAAAGAGTGATAAAAACCCAAACTAAACTCTTCTATATCTGTTACTTGTTTATTAATGTTACTGCCTTTTTTAATTTTTTCATGTTAAACATCTCTTCCCTACTCCAAATAATTTTTAAAAATTTTTTAACTATAAATAATGACCAACACCACAAAACTGACCATCATGTATTCTGATTTGTTTGCCAGTCCACCTGTGCATAATTATGTGACATCCCAGGTGCTTTATTAATTTATCAATCCAATATTTACAGAACTTGTAGAAAAACACAGCAATCTGGTACAGAACCTGCTGCAGAAACAGGATCAGCTTCAGGGTGCATCCTCTTCAAGGAAGAAGTTTGAAGGAGATTGCCAAAAGATAGATCTCTGGTGTAGGGAGACTGCACTCCAGTGTGACGACCCACTGCCTCTAGAATGTTCTTTGGAGGCTTTAAAAGAAGGCTTATCAAAATATAAGGTAAAAAAAAAGTATTAGAAAAAAGATATCCTAACATACATTACAACTCTTAATCAACCTCATTTTCTGTATCCATGAAGGAGGAGTAAGAAATGAAATTTATGTTCTCAGAAAAATATGTCAGACTTATGATTAAAAATATCAAGAAATATCTGGAAAAATAAGCCATGCAAATTTTTATAGGTGTGAACAATAATAAATTATCTTATGATATAATTATTTATATCTTAATATTTCTAAGACTTATAAAACAATTTTTTTTTATGTTTTATTGACTTGTTTTAGGCTTCTACAGCTTCTACACTGTTTTACCCAGTCATATAATATTGTGTGTTTTACATTGTCAAACCCAAGTATTGCCTACTGCTGACTGCAGTAAATATTTTGTTTTGGTTTGTTTTTAAAGAGTGCTGTCTTTCTGGACGCTCTTACTCTGTTTTTATTTTCTATGGGTCTTGGTACCTTTGTATTTGAGTTTTCTAGAATTTAGCTTGTCCTGGATTTCAAACTGCAATGCATCATCTGTCCTCATGTTATTATTATTTTAAATTTGGTATATTTTCTGGCAATATTTTAGAACCTTATAAGTGCCAGCCATGTCTATGAGTCTCTTGTGCAAGATACAAAAGAGGTTGCCCAGAGTTTCCTCCCATGTTTGTTGGAAGCAGAAAACCCCATTTTACATCTACATTTGGATTCTATTTCTGCAAACTTCCTGAGGTAACACTAGTATCTAATATTTCTAATTTTAAATAAGATTATAAAGATAAAATTTACTGAAATTAAAATTGATGTCAAAGTTTTTTAAAAAAAATGTGTATCTTTGGATAACAGGGTTTCAGAACAAATTAAAGATAAATGTGAAAAGTTGGAAGAAACTATCAGCAGCTACAAATCTATCCATAAGCTAATAACGGAGAGTGAACAAACGATATCATCAATACAGTCTGAAATCAAAGAAGTTGATGTTTACATTGGGCCAAATGTCCAGGATGCTGAGGTCATCTTGCAGAAATTTGAAGTAAGTGAACAGTGTGTAAACATTTCAATCTTGGTTAAGAAATGAAGATATCAATATTTTTAATCCGAATCTTTTGCATAGTTTTCACATAATTTAAAGATCATTCATATGGAATGACTTTAAGCATGTTTGCATTGTATCAAAATGCTGAGTTATCCATGAAAAATAATGAACTCATAAACTATTTTCCGGCATATATGATGACTGGGCGTATGCGACAACCCCCTACTTTTCATATTAAAATATAAAATTTGGGCTATTCTTGCTGTATAACACTACCCCTCTTCCAACACACACCAAATAAAAATTCAAAAACATCAGATTTGATTTCAGTATGGTAATTTCAATTCAAATGCTTATGACATGCAGGTACTTAGCAGGAAATATGTCACTTATAAACATAAGGCTTTTTGCCATCAAACATGTAAACATAAAACAGTGCAAGTAGATTAAACTTTTCCTAATTCAATCTAAAGCTGAAAGGAAGGATAAGACAATAAACCCATGGGAGCTGCCATGCTGTTTGCTTTCTAAGCTGTCAATTTAAACTGGAACTAGAGGGCGCCTGTCCCTGTAGTTTCAGATCGCCATATACCAGCTTATAAGACGACCTCCAGCGTGTAAGACGACCTCTGACCTTTGAAAAGATTTTCGTGGGTTAAAAAGTCGTCTTATGTGCCTGAAAATAGTGTACCTAACTGTTACTGATACCAAAACAATTATTTGCATACTGAAACCTTTACACATGATATCTATCCTAATTATTATTTTTTTCTTGAATCACCCAGGGCTTTAAAGGTCAGTTAAGCAGCTGTATTCCAGCTGTTTCAGAGTTGTCTGACACACATGAAAGGCTTGGAGCAGAAAGGCAACAAGTATTTGCTGATGATATTATAAGGATTACTGAACTGCACAAGGCCTTGTTGGACAAAGTTAGCCAGCACATAGATGTCACCCAGGCAGCTGTAAATGAGCGCAGAATGTTTGAACAGAACTTCTTGACACTGGAGGCCACCGTGTCAGAATGTGAACATAAAATTTCAGACCTTACATCTTGTCGTTTACCTTTCTCAGAGATAAAGGAGCAATACCAAGTGGGTTATGTTTACTGTGTTAACTTTTTAAAAAACTGTTCTTTAGATTCATTTCCATTATTCATCACTGATTGCAAAGGCTTTCATAAATTTATAAAAAATATTCTTTAAAAAAATATATATTCACCGAAATATTTAAAATATATTTTTCTGAAATAAGAATAAAATTATATGTTTAGATTTTTTTTAATAAATCAAGAGAATCGTTTTTAGCTAAGGCTACATTTCTTGAGGTTCACTATTTTTTTTGTAAGGTGATAATTTTATTCAAATTTAAAACTAGGAAATTTTAAATCTGTTTTTTCACCATGGGTGTCCAAAAATTAAACAATTATTTGTGGTTACACGTAGAAATCTTCTGTCTGTGAAGCATTCTTTTGGAGAAAAAAATATAATTGTGAGGCTAATTTGGAGGAATTATATATATATTTTTAGGAGCTCTATTTATTTATGCCTTTTGCCTGGATGTCAGATGTACTTGATCTTTTGTTGAATTAATAAAAAAAATTTTAGGTCATGAACTGTACTGGTTACAGCTCATGACGAACCAGGTAAAATGTCCAAAACTAATAATGTACTGGTTACAGCTCATGACAAACCAGGTAAAACGTCCAAAACTAATAATGTACTGGTTACAGCTCATGACGAACCAGGTAAAATGTCCAAAACTAATAATGTACTGGT